GAGCAGAGGAATTGGAGGTGCGGGAGTCTTGGGGCTGGGCAACGCTTTTGCGTTTTGAACTGGTTGCCGGGTCTAGGACAAGGATAAACGTCAGGAGGATCTTAAAACTATGATGATATTATGACCTGGGGGGAATTGGACGGCGGCAAGGAGGCTAGGTCCAGCGGCCAACCGGGCAGAAATCCGGTTGTTGGCATGAATTGGCGTTTGGTGTACTTTGTTTTGATACAGCGGTTTTCAACGCAAGCGCGCAAGCAATGCATGGCGGGCTGTTTTGCCTGATCAAAAGCGAACTCTACGTCGCTATGCTAGAATTAGGCATTCAAAAGCACGAAATCTAGAAACCAGTATGAACTACTTACTCTACCTGTTCGTTTGTGACAGATCTGGTATATGTACGCACTCATTGACACTGCTTGGACCAAGGTCAGCCTTGTCTGTTTCAGACCTCTGTATGACTTGAGTCGTTTGTCTGCCGAAGGTTGCGTTTACCGCCGTTGGGCGCGCTCGCCATACTGCCGCTTACCAACAGTTGGAAATGCAACAGGGCAAAACTCGAGGCTCGTGGCGAGGGTAGACAAACAAACTTGCATGGGACCGAAACCTCGAGTACCTTGAACGGTTGTCTCAGAGTCCATAAGTATGAGATCTCGACTTTTATCTCACAATGATACTGTTTAACAGGAATTGGTAGGTGCTGCAGTAGCGTGATTGTGTGATGTGCAATTTTGTGGAATTCGTCTACTCTTGCCTCTTTAGAGGCACAGAGGCGCAAGCGAGTCTCTTGGAGAACTATTTGTCTCTTCCGAGGCTGCTCTGAAGTTGGTGTCTTTCAATCTGTCTTACATGGTGTACCTCGAGCGCCTTACTAGAAGATTCAAACTTGCTCGGCTCTATCCGTACACAACCACGCGGTATAGAAGTCCCATCTGCCGTGGTTTCCCATCGGTACTTGAATGCTTCGCTTTACGTACAGATCAATATAATTTCACAAGTCGTCCTTTCTTGGTCTGCGTTACACTGGATTTGGTTTGAGTTTGCTGCTGTAATTAATGTGACTAGGATCAAGGTTTGTGCTAAGACCAGAGACAATCTAATGCTGCGCCGTTCAGGGTCCATGTAGGTTCTAAAGTTGAGACCGCAATATTCATGGCTGAATGTTCTCCTGAATACACAAAGAAGAATAAACGTCTGCTACTCAGTTGAGTGATCTTCGTTTTCCACTTCACCTTTTCTCCCATCTTTCGCAATCGCCATCCTTCCGCGGCAGGTTTGTACGACCTTATCCCCCTCATTAAACCAACCGCGGGTCAAACGGAGCGCCCGCATAAAACCGCTTTCGGTCATATCGGCGTCGGCTCATGCTCATTCTCATACTCGTTTGAGTTGAGAACATTCTCACCTCGCAAACGGTATTCACCTCTCTCCTTCAGATCCGGCCTCAGTCATTTTCCTTCGCACCAACAATGACTCGAAGAACCAAGAGCGCCGCCCGCAAGGCCCGGGAGAAGGTCGCAGCTGAGGAAGGAGGCGCCAAGCTGCAGAACGTGGAGAAGATGATGGGTGAACTCAGTATCAAGAAGGAGGATGAGAATGAGGGTGAGGAGAATGGCAACAATGCAGGAGAAGGAGGCGCCGATCTTTACGATATTGAGGAGATGATGATACAGTTGAACATCAAGAGGGAGGAGGATGTCGACGGCAGCAGCAGCCACGACGGCCAGGACCAGAAGAGTGATGATGCGGTTTTGGATTGCGTTGAGCTGAAGGAGGCGTTGGATGACCTCAAGAGCCCCAATGAGGAGAAGAAGGCGAACGGCGAGAACAGCGCGCCAAAGATGAACAGGAAGCTGACCGAGAAGGAGCAGGCGAAGGTTCAGACGAACCTCGTCGCGCGCTGGGAGGAGTACTTTGGCAAGAGAGAGCTGGCCGACTGGCAGCGTCTCTGCGGTGATCTGGGTCTGGATGCGGATCTGCCCACCAAGACCCAATGCCGAAAGGTAAGTCGCCCCTAAATACCACTGCGGGATGCATCGGCGGCTGACGAGGTGAACCTCGCATGCATAAAGGCCCTGAAGACGGTCCACGTCAGCATCAAGCAGTTCCTCAGTGTCGAGAACCGACCCAGCGAGGTTGAGTTCTTCAAGAATCCCTCTCAGCTTGGAAGGTATTGCCGCAAGAACCGCATGTTCATGTCCAGCAAGGAGCTTCCCAAGGGCGATCCGCTCCGCTCCCTACGACGCAAGATGAGATTTTGATGCTGAAATGAGAGATGAGTGAAAGGGCGACATGACGAGAGCGCAGAGGATAGACCGTTTTGATGCAGGAAGATGGAATTAAGACAGGCCCTCACGCCAGATGATAAACCTCAATACACAAACATGCCAACCGATTTCTTTTTTTGATACCCTTCCTAACTCCTAATCTCCCACATTCTAATCTTGCCCGTATCATTACCGACCGCGAGGAGCTCGCTGCTCCGCCCAAACGCAACACTCGTGATCCTGCCCAGGGGCGTCTGTTCCGTGGGCCAGTTCCTGTAGACGGTGCAGCTGGGGAGGTGAACCAGTCGCAGCGCGTCCTTGGACTCTGTGCTGCCGAATGCCATCAGCTGGCCGTCGGGGGAGAAGGTCAACACCGTGATGGGCGTGACGAGCTGCTCAAATGTGCGTGTCGGCTCGGGGCGCTGCTCGATGTCGACATCGCCGGCCTTGGACGACGTCTTGACGAGCGTGTGGCGATCGTAAATGTTGGTTATGCCGCTGCTGGAGCCGACGGCGACCCACCTATCGTCACCCAGAAGTTCGGGCCCCTGATGGCCGCCCAGCGCGATGACGATGCCGCCCACGCAGCCATCGTCGTGCCACACGGCCAGGAACCGCTTCTCGGCCACGCTGTACTCGCCGACGGAGCCGTCCCTGCCGAGGATCGACATGCCCTCACCGTTGCTCCACCACACGAAGTCGGCGATGCCGTGCCGGCTGTCCAGCCTGGCGGCCGCGATCCACTGCCTCGACTCGGTGCTGACGATGTTGATGATGCCGCCGCCCTTGCGCGTCGACGCCACGAGGCCCATGTAACGCCCGCAAGGGCTGAGCTTGAAGCGCTCCATGGTCTTATGCTCGAGCCTATGGCCCTGTATCTGCGACGTCTTTTGCACGTTGCCCGTCTGCAGGTCCCAACTGTGGAAGAACTTGCGCCGGCCGGCGAAGAAGATTTGGTCGCCCGACGGGTAAAGGAACTCTGCGCGGCGGACGTCGACGCCCTTGGCCTGCACCGAAGTGAGCATCGGGTTCGGCGTCGGGTGGGCCGTCGGGTTGAGGTGGTGCAGGTAGAGCACGGAGGAGACGCTCGAGGAGAGGAGGACGGGGTATCGCGGGTGGAAGGAGAGGTTGTTGACGGCGGCCTTGTGGGTGTCGGGGATCTCGCGCGTGCGCTGGATGTCAATGACCTCGGGCCGGAGGCGGGCTTTGCCGCCGTTGGCGGCGCCTTTGCCGGCGAGGCGGTGGACGTCGCGCATGAACTTCTCGAGGGGCGCCGCGGAGAGGTCTGTATCGCTGCCTTCTTCGTCGGAGCTGATGGAGGAGTCGGAGGCGGCGGCCGAGGAGCGTCTCCTCCTCTTTGCGGGCCTTCCCTCGGACGACGGCTCTTGCGCCCACTTTGGCAGGGGGTTCAGGCGGACGAACTGCTGTCTCAGTCTTCTGCTGTACTCTGCGCCGCTGACCATGTCCTCGGCCTCGGTGATACGCAGCTTTCGTAACCTCGTCGCGGTCGCCAGGGAAACGGTCAATCGCTCGTCATCGCTGTCCTCCCACGCGGGCGCATTCTCATGAACGGCCGCTGCCTCTTGCTTGCCGCTCGCCTTTGCGCCGCCCTTTGCCGCGGGGACTCCGGTGTCGAGGAAGAAGAGATCGTGGTCGGCGACTTCCTCTAGTGTGGGCTCATCGTCTGGCTTGGTGAGCTGGAGTTTCTTTTCTCTTTCGAGTCGTTCGATATCGCCGAGCACATCGTTGCGGAAGAGCTGTTCGCGGAAATCGGCCTTGCCTCCCAGGACCAGCTTCTCGAGCTCCTCTTCATCAGAATCCTTTTCGTCGAACACGGGCTTCGGTTTGCGTTGGCGGGGGACTTCCTCCTCGAGTTCTGATTCCTCGGAGGAGGTGACCTCTTCCTCTTCGGAGAACTTCTCAAACGGTTGCTCTTTTGCCATTGTCGTCGGTCGGTGGTGATTTTCTTGTCTCGTTTGGTCGTGGGCGCACCAGCGGATCGAGGTGGGAATGGACGAGCGGCTTGCAGAGGACGTCCAGAATTTTTTTAATGGAGCTTTCAGCCTTGTATGTGCATGGAGAGTCTGATTGGTGTTCTTGGAGACGCTAAAACATAGATCAACCAATGGAACTGGAACGATGATCAGGCTCGATTGCGGGGCATCTAAAACCCCTCCAAAGCGAGACTCAGACTGGCAAAAGGGTGACAAAATAGGTAAGATGCTGGTCGACACTAGACTACGATGCCTACTTGCCTGCTTATTGTTGCTGACTTTCTTATTCTTTTCATCTTGATTTTCAAGTTTCTACTATCTTCATTATTTTGACTATCTTTATTTTCTATGTATTCATTATTAAGAAGAAGAATAGAAGAGCTAGGTATTGGGATACCTATAGAGCGGCAAACGATTATGTCACTTATTTGACCGGCAGTTTGCCATCTTCGTGTCCAAAGAAATCATTTTGTTTCTTGTCTTGTAGCTAATCCTCTGCATCTTGTGCCAATTTCATCTTCTTTGCACGCCTCGCTTTTTTGTCCTCGTTCCTAGCCGCCCTCTCCTCCTCCCGCTTGCGCTTCTATACCGCAAAGCCTTAGTCGACATTAAGAAAGACTTTCTCTAAAGCCGTAATATCTCCTACTTCCTTATTATCCTTCTCCTCGTCTTCCTCTACAAAGGAGTCCACCGAGCTCGCATCCAGTATCTCGACGGAATCATTCTCATCGTCCTCATACTCCTAGTACTCCTCATCATCGCCCTCATCCTCATCATCGCTAATCTCTATAAACAAGATTTGGTTATCGTCATCGTCTTACTCACGTACCAAAAGGGTATAGCTCTTTTGGTTCCCAAGCTGATTCCCTGCATCAGCAAGTTCCTCTGCCGTATAATCTTCCCCTGACGCAAGACTTGACAAACTGTTGCCGTCATCGGTCATGGCATCGCTGCCAGGCGACGAGCAGACCTCCGTGCCCGTACTCTGATCGTCCTCTTCGTCATCGTCCTCGTATTCGACACCAGGGGAGCCGCTATCAGTGTCCTCCTTGTAATCGACCCTCGGAAGGGCAGCTTCTATCGAAGCACGATGAAGCCATCAGACTCCATATCAAGGTGCCTATCGATGGTCGAATAGAGGTCGACAACGTGGCTTAGGCAGCTGTACTCTTTTCCATCGCCCTTGTTGACCGGGCCCGTGATGAACCCACGGTCGACAGTGTCTGTGTGCGCCATTATAGGATGATTGTAGTGTTTATGTAGTAACTGTATATATACCGAGCTGGGTTCGTGGCAATTTTGTCCCGCGAAGCAGAAAGCTATAAGAAGGCAAAGGGTTTTCTTGCCTCATCCTATTCCACAATTCAATGACAGGCCAGTGTCTTGTAATAGTATATGACTTATTGTGCTGTTACCCTCGACCTCCCCGATGACGAAGACAAAGACGCACTCGAGGAGGCCTGTTTTCTTGATCCCGACGAGAATTAGAGATCGGACTACGAAGTCGGTATCCCTGAGTATATCTCTAGTCCTATTCCTGATGCTATTATCATCGCCAAGACTATCATTTTCCTTCGTTTCCTATTTATTCCGTTGATAATATAGCTTAAGAAGCCGAGAAAGGAGATTGTGAAAGAGGCAACAAGAGAGGCAACAAGAGAGGCAACAAGAGAGATAGTAAGAGAGATAGTAAGAGAGGTAATGAGTGAGGTAGTAATGATAAGAAGGGATTGAGGTATATATCGGCTAATGGACTATTTTACTAAGCTTAGGGCTATGTATGATCTAATGCTAAGAGATGGATCATTCATATACCCTCGGCGGGTCTCGTGTGTCAACCAACTATCACTGGATGAGAACATCCACACTTCCCCGATAGTCTAGTGGTGAGGATATCTGCTTGTCATTGAAAATTCAACGATTCCGCAGGGGACCGGGGTTCAATTCCCCGTCGAGGAGTATTCTTTTGCCCAGGCTCATTATTTTTTAAGTTATCGTGAAGAAAGGGTGGTTTTTGTGAAGTTTTTGTCATGGTTATGAGTCGTGAGAGTGAGTATCGTGGGATCGCGAAACTCACCTGCGCTAAGCCACAGGCAGCGTGGCGCGGTGGGGTTCCAGTCTGGACCTTCCTTGTAAGTAAGGTAAGCACCACTGTAGTTCGGAGGGCGTGCACCTCGGCTCTGGGTACTTGGCAGGGCGTCTTCTCATATCGCCGTATTCCGCTGCTCTTAGAAGCTAGACGTTCATCTTATATGTTGAGCACCCAGCGAGCCCAATTCAGTCCTGTTTAGCTTTCAGTAGCATTCTCGACTTTCATATCTTTATACGACAAGCTTTGGCGGCTAGTCTCGCTATCCAAGGAGCAAAACATTGATCAGTTCATCCACATCTAGACAACCAAGCAACCAGGGGCACGGCACATCGCCGTCGACTATCAAACATGATTGTCCCACGCTCATCTTGCCGCTTGGCGAGACAAGCTCTCTCGCAGCTGCAGCTGTCACGCCAAACTGTTGGGGCCAACGCAGTACGTCGTCACATGAGCGCCGCCGCATACCAAGCAGGCGGACTGAAGAATCTCCTGCGTGTTTCTGAAGAGGTTGCCGATGCCGTTGCCACAAATAAGCCGGTTGTGGCTTTGGAGTCTACAATCTACACACACGGTGCGCTGGGCAATGATCTCGGTCTGGAAGACATCGTCCGTCAGGGCGGCGGTGTTCCTGCTGTGTGTGGTATCCTGAACGGCGAGCCTATCGTTGGAATGACGGAGGCTGAGGTTGCCTACATGGTCGATTCTGGCACAGCGGGCAAGGTGTCGAGGAGAGATGTTGCACACCTTGTCGGACTGGTAAGTCTCGCTAGATAGCACTGCGCTGTCATTCATGTTGGTTCATTTACATACGTCTTCTGCACATGTTCCATGCCTCAGTTCTAACACATTACAGGGAATCACTGGAAAGAAGGTGCACGGCGGCACCACCATTGCCGGAACCATGCTACTCTCAAGACTCGCCGGCATCCGCGTCTTCGGCACCGGCGGTCTAGGCGGCGTTCACCGCGGCGGCGAGAACTCCCTCGACGTCTCCGCAGACCTCACGGAGCTCGGCCGCACGCGCGTGGCCGTCGTGAGCTCAGGCTGCAAGGGTTTCCTCGACATCCCGCGCACGCTCGAGTTCCTCGAGACGCACGGCGCCTTCGTCGCGACTTTCGCCGACGGCCGAACCGGCAACGTCGATTTCCCCGCCTTTTGGGCCCGCGAGAGCGGCACGAAGAGCCCCGCGGTCGTTCAGACCGAGCGCGAGGCCGCCGCCATGATCTTGGCGCAGGAGAGCCTGGGCATCGAGTCCGGCATGCTCTTCGCCAACCCGATCCCTGAGGAGTACGGCATCCCCCGCGCGGAGATGGACGCCGTCATTGAGACGGCGGTCACGGAGGCCATTGAGAAGGGCTTCACGGGCGCCAAGAACACGCCCTACGTCCTGGGCAGGATCAGGCAGCTGACGGAGGAGCGGAGCACGCTGGCCAACAAGGCATTGGTGAGGTCCAACGTGGCACGGGCTACCAAGATTTCGGTGGAGCTCTCGAAACTGCTGAACGAGGGCGTTTCGAAATCGTAAGTTTTCGATTTCGTTGTATATAGCTCAGCCGGGGACTCGGACTCTGACTGCGTAGATAGTACTTCGAGCACGCATGTCTCTGGTTATGATATTGCCCCTAAACCTGCAGTTAAAGTGGAAGAGCCCAAGTCCAGCAAGGCCGATGTTCTTGTGGCGGGCTCTGTGGCGATCGACCTGAGCTGCGACTATCATCCCCTCGGTGACAAGAAGGAGGTCGCGCCTCATATGCAAACCTCAAACCCTGCTTGTATCAACCAGTCCATCGGCGGCGTCGGTCACAATGTCGCTCTGGCTGCTCACAGAGTAAGCAAAGACACAACAGTACGCCTATGTAGCTTGATCGGTGACGATGTGTAAGCCCCCCCCGCTCCCTTATATCTACAATTCCACGCCTAACAAAGTGAAAAGCGCCGGCGCAACCGTCCTATCCTCCCTCAAAGCCTCGGGCCTCGAGACAACCTACATTCGCCAGCTCACATCCGAGTATCACGTGGCGAACCGCACGGCGCAGTACGTCGCCGTCAACGACGCCGAAAAGAACCTCGTCATGGCCATGGCCGACATGGGCATCTTTGCCAACCACTCCTTCCCGGACTACTGGAAGTCCGCCGTCGCGGGCGCCAAGCCGGCGTGGCTCGTCGTCGACGGCAACTGGAGCCCCAAGGACGTCCGGGCGTGGATCGACGCCGGCCGCGAGCAAGGGTGCAAGGTCGCCTTTGAGCCCGTCTCGACGGCCAAGTCCATCGGTCTCTTCCCCAAGGAACACCCGCACCTCGGCGTCTTTCCCAGCCCCGGCATCGACATTGCGTCGCCCAACAATTTTGAGCTCAACGCCATGTATAGCGCGGCCAAGGAGAATGGGTTCTTTGATACGCCCGAGTGGTTCGAGGTCATTGACGCCTTCAACATGCGCGGTGCGCGGGATCGCTTCGTGGCTCTTACGTCCAAGGAGATGACTGACGCAGGCATCCCGGTGCAGACGGTCCACCTCTTGCCGTACATCCCTACCCTAGTCACGAAGCTGGGGTCCAAGGGTGTTCTCCTGACTACGATCCTGGGCAAGAACGATTCCAGACTCAAGGACAGAAACGAGGAGAAGTGGCTGCTTACGAGAGGATACGTCGATCATCCCACCGTCGGCGGCGTCTACATGCGCCTGTTCCCGCCTGCTGAGAAGGTCGCCCTCGACGAGATTGTGTCTGTAAATGGCGTTGGGGATACGTTCTTGGGAGTTCTGATTGCTGGCCTGTCCAAGGGGGGCAAGGTGGAGGACTTGGTTGATGTCGCGCAAAAGGCGGCGGTCATGACGCTCAAGAGCCACGAGAGCGTGAGCCCGGACTTGGAAAGGCTGGACGGGGCCCTGAAGGCTTCGGTGAGGAGCTGAGCGCACCATGAAGTTACCCATGTAGAATAGAAAAGTTCGCGGCGTTTAGTGAGACTTGACTTTGGATCTGCTTCATGTATACCGTACGTGTTGCGTGCTCTTGTGATGATATGCCAGCAGAGGCAAACTTGACTATCGAACAGCTGGGTTATAGGAGTCGAACCATATGCCTGAGAAAAACCAGCGTCCCGGTTTGTTCATACTAATCAACCACTCAGCTAGATGGCCTCGGCGGCTTTGAACCTCGTCGAGGGGTGCTCCTTCCCTCAAATCTGTAACCTATATACCCTTTACTCTGCTCATCTCGTGGTATTGTAAGTCTGGGGTAAGTCAGGGGTCGACGATAAGATCGGAAGGCAGTCAAGGACGGCGTGGTGAGCTACTGTTTTAGGGCAGCTATAAAGGCCCCCGATACCTGGCTGCTAAGAACGCTCGCTTCAAGCCCTTAGTTCTCGGGGTTTGGGTCTGGTCGAACTGCATGTGAGAGTGGTGCTGCTGCCTTCATATCGACGTTCTTTCTTAGTGATATCGTTCATTCTTTATGTTAAACAAATTCTTTCATCGCGTCAATCATCCCTCAAACAGCCAGCCCCCTTCGGCCCACGTATTCGGATTTGAATACCTTCACCAGCGTGAAACGAGAGGCGAAACTGGCTACACATAAATATATCTTTCACCCCTGAGCTATGGAAAACAAAGAAGTCATGGTTCTTATACCAGCCTAAGGAAGTGAGAGTGCTGTCACCAAGGAAATTTGAAGACTGTGTTTCTTACTATAGCTGAACACTTGATCGTATTCTGAGGAAAGAATTCTAAAACGAGTTTCAGCTACTGAGAGTGAAAGCTCATACTTGCCCCCAACTCTCGAGCTGGCAGATAAGTACCTAGCAGCAAACATGGTTGTCAAAGTCGGCAGCGTTTAATGTCCCGGTATCAAAACAGGTAGACAGAAACGAACAGTAAGAACGGGAAGCTGGTTCTCACGTGGAGAATCGAGATTCATTTCAAATTTTCACCTGATGAGAGAAGAGAGAGAAGAGCCCTGATCCGGCTATGAAACTCATGAACGCATCATATCGGGACGGGGTTGTTTGAGCTGGTAGCATTGATATCCAGCCATGGAAGTGAAGTAGTCTGTGAAAGAGAGTGATGACAACACGGCGTCTAGATCTCTTGACTATCTAGATCTATGTGAGATTTGCCCTGCACAGTCTCACAGCAAGAGATGTTCAGTGCTAGCAAAGGTGAATAAGTCTCAAACCATTGTTGCGCCCAAAGCAAACGGCGAAACTACATCCTCAAATACCAAGCCCTCATTGAAAGGGGCTTTTGTCAGTCAGAGGCAACAATACAATGCCAGCAACAAATAAAAAGAGATGAAGGATAGCCTTGGCTGTGGAGAGAAAATGTGCGTGGACTCTTTACTGTACTTTTGCTTGTTGACATAGACGGCACAATCTATAACACAGGACATGAGAGAGCATTTGAATCAGCATTGCTCAGTATAGGATACTGACAAGACTTTGTTTGTCTGATGATCCAGGTCAAATAATTAAAACCCGTTTTCATTCGCAATCCCAACCTAACACCGAAATTTTTGTTATCTTACAAAGTACAACTTGATGTGCCCGATGATTATGCAATGCCCATGTTGTATGAAGCATGCCCCCGGTAGAGCGTCATTCTCGGCGCCCATGGCCAGTTGCACGAGTCAAAAGTTCCTCAATAACAGCCAATGGTTCTATCCATCCTTGACCTCTGTTTTACGACGTTCCAAGCGATGGGAGTAGTTCTTGTCCTAATAATTCAGCTCTCCGCCGCCGCCGCCAGCGACATGGTCGAGATCCTCGTAGCTCTTGAGACTACGTCCCTGAGTGGCCTCCCGTGGGCCGACAGCCGCTCCACCGCCGGCAGCACCGTCTCCCCACTTGCCGGCGCCACCGCGGCCTCCTCCCCTCATACCACCGTCCCAACGGGGATTCGGGCGTCGGTCATAGGGACCGCTTCGGTAGTTTCCACGGCTACCGCTCATACCTCCACGGCGAATGGGACCGGGGCCACCGCGGTCATCGCCGCCAGCGTTCCATCCGGACTGCATACCGGGATGTCCGCCACCGACGAACGGCGGGAACCCGCCGGGTGGCATGGGGAATCCAGGGATGGGCATCATGCCATTCATAGTGAAATTCTGCAGGTTGAATCCACGAGGGGTTCCAGTTGCAGAAGAGCCATTGGCAGGAGGGAAGTGACCGTTGGAATTAGCATCCGTCCTTGATGGAGCAATGTGAGATGGGTCCATGACATAGGCATTGATAAGATGGAACTGCAGAGTTGGTTAGCAGCTGGCATAGAGTAGCTGGGAAGGGTGACTTGCCTCTTGCTCAATGGTCTCGAGCCATTCGTTGTGGCGCTTCTCGACGTGCTTGCGCCAGAAATGCTCTTCCTTGAACAACTTGGCACACTCGGGAACCTTGCATCTCCACTTGTGCTCGTCCTCCTGCTTGACGTATTTCAGCAGCTCGTCACTGACGGCATCCTCAACGGGGCGGCCTCCAAGCTTGCGCAGGTCTGCCGTTTCGGGCTCAAGAATTTGCATAATCTTGTCCTCGAAGGTCTTGACCCAGTTGTAGGCGCGAAGCAGCTGTTGTTCTGCCTTGCCGGTAGAACCGCGGAACTTCTTGTCCTCGGTCGCTTCGCCTTCCTCCTCGATCTCGCTGCGCTTCTTGCCAGGGAATGGCTCTCCATTGGCACTAGCGCGCGCAACGGCCTTGGCGGAAGTGCTTAGGGTGGTCCTCGGGCGACGTAGGTGACCACCGGGGCACTTGCGAGTGAGCTCGTGGATTGAATCGCTCTCAAAGACACAGAAGAAGCAAAAGTTGTAGACGCGTCTGAGATACTCAATCATGAGATCCAGCTGCTTCTTCTTGACCAGGAGGTCTTCGTCGTCAACGTCGTCCTCCTCGACAGCACCCTCATCCTCGTCATCATCAATGGCACCATCCTCTCCGTCTTCCATGCCGTCATCGACGTCGAGGTCACGCTCCTTCTTGGCCTTCTTCTTGGGTGCAGTGACTGCGGGCTGAAGGCGGCCGCTATTCTTAAGATCGTCGACACGTTCCTCAATCTTCAAGACGGCGTTGAAGTCAGAACCGAAGTCTTCCTCAAACTTGTTAACGAGTCGTTGAACCAGGCCCAAGTCCTTCTCGACCCGCTCGGGAGCAGAGAAGAGATCCCAGAGGGCCTTCTTTCTAGGGTGGCTAGGCGGGTTGTGCACACCGACGTGGCAGACGAAATCGCCCCTAACTTCGTCCTTGACAGTCTTGCCGTTGACGGCATCAAGGGCCTTTTCGGCAGTCGACACAACTGCCGGTGACTTCAAAGGCATATCGCCATCCTCATCCTTGGGGTCGACACGGTCAACGACTGCGGGGGCAACTTCTGATGAAGGGTGAAGCATAACCCAACCAATGCGATGATACCGCTTGCTGGGATTGGGATCTGACAGAGAAAGCCACTTGAAGCCGCCCTCTTCTTCGCCGAGATGCTCCTTGCAGAAAGTCTCTAGGTTTTGTCTGCTGACATGGGGCGCAATGGTCTTGATGAGAAGGGTGGGCTGGTACAGGTTCTCGTCTCTGATGTCACCGCCGTTGGCTGGTACGAGGTCTCCCACGCCCAGGATCTCGTTGGCGGCAGTTGCTTCGCCTTCCTCCTTCTCTACGAGGCCTCCCAGGCCATTAGTCTCGCTCTTGGGAATTCCCTCCAGCGAAAACTCGTCGAAGGTTCCGGACTCAAGATCTTGCTCCCATTGGCTGTAAGCACCACGGCGGAATTCATTAAGCTGGGCTCTGAAACCGTCACGAATTTCAGGGACGTAGCGCTCGCGGAACCACTGCTCCTTCTTGTGCTCGCCGACAAAAGTGCGAGCCATCTTTGCTTGAAGTTCTTCCTTGTAGGCGTCATACGCGACCTGAATCTTGGCCTTCTCCTTTTCGCGCTCTTCTTGTGCTTCACGTGTGCCTCGGGCACGTTCGGGTTCACGGCGACGACCGGTGCGTTGGCGTTCCTTCTCCTCCTTGATCTTTTCGTTCATCCTCCACCATTCGCCAAAGTATGAGAAGCCGACTTGGTATGGGAGCTTGACGGGATCCGCAAGGGGGTTGACCGTCATCGGTGCAGAGGCGCTGCTGTCCTGTCCAGGGACGTAGCGATCAATGTTGGCTGGCGGTGACTGGATTCTCCTCTCCCGGCGATCATCACGATCTCTGCCACCAGCATAGTCGTCGCGACCGCGGCCCCTTGGCTCGTATCGGTCGATAGCAGCTGGGGATCGTGAACGACGTCTGTCACGGTGCTGACGCTCATGGCCTGAAAGATTTGTAAGTAAATGACCATTGAACCTTTGCAAGTGTAAGGTTCAGTATCGTGGGAGAAGCCTCGGCAAGGAACGACCGGAACCATTGGATGGGATAATCAGAGACCCTACGCACCAGGCGATCTACCACGGTAGAATGTGTCAGCTCGCTCCTCCTTGACTCGCGTGTCGTCGCGACTGCTCCACGTCCTGTCGCCCGGCGAGCGCGCGGAGTCTCGGTGTGAAGAGTAGGAGTCCATCGTGGATATGTCGCGCTGAGTCTAGTGTGTGGGACAGCGAATAACGTCTTTATTGAGTTCAATTGACCTCTTCAGCCAGATTAAGTATCGCGTCGGCGTCGGGTAACTGCGTGGTTGCTGCTCATATGATTTCGTTTCGCTTGCTCGATCGAAGGAAGGAAGAAGGAGGAAGCCTGTTGATTGGCAACATGATTGCGGTTAGAGAAATCATTCTGCAGGCGGAATACGGGATGGCTTCTGAGGGAAACGGAAGAAGAGATAGAGAAAGAATTGAGAATTCGGGACGGAAGTAGCAGTAAAAAGTGGTGCAGCTGCCAGAGGGCAAAGATGAGTTGAAAACCGACTCGTCACTCTAACGATGACGGTGCAAACGGAAGAAGAAGAAGAAGAAGAAGAAGAAAGACGGAATGCCAAATGAGGCTTGCTGAGAATGATTGACAAACGAGGATGGTTGGACAGGGAGTTGGGCGGGAGTAAGAATGGATGGTCTGGGAGACGGACAACAGGAATAATGGGAATTGAATTGAGGTGATGGATGGACAATAGGTTGCGGATGAGTAAAGATAATGCAGAAAGAAAGGGAAGAACGAACTATTCCGATGGCGAGGGCGTATGCCTCGACGATAAGACGCGTGATGTTGTCGTGATCCAAAAGGTAGAGGGTTTTGGGATGCACGAAGGAGAGGTTGAAGATGGGAAGGCTGACCCGACTCCGTACTCAAAGGGCGACGAGACGACGGGAGCGAGACACGAACAAAGGGTCGGCTGGAGAGATCCACCTTGAGCGAAACGGGCTTAGTGTTTCCTTCGGAGGATCCTCGGTAGCGTCGGCACTCTTAACTGCATACGTCTTCGTTTTGCATATGCACTTGCCGATTACGAGTCGTTGATTGACCTGCACCTTTTCTGTAAAAGGAAGTCTCTTGTGATGGATGAGGTGGTGGAGTCAATTGAGCCCAAGAAGACTCTTTCCAAGTTGGATATGCCTTCTCTACACGATGCGTCCCGGGTACCTGGCAAGCGCAGTAGTTGTCAGTACCTTCCTCGAAAGCTGCTAAGGCCGTCGCAGCTGCCCCCAGCCGTGACAGGCGGGTCAATGTCCAGTGGAATTCAATTGCTGGAGAGCTGCAGAACAACGGCGGCCGATCCCCAGCGATCTCCAGAGCTTCACCCCTGTAGCGGCAGAAGCATGTCCATCTGAGGAACGGGGGTCCCCATCTGTCAAACTGCCACCTCAGCTGAGATAAATGAGCAGACAGACAACGTGACAATTTCAACGTGTTGACCCAATCGTCTTTCAAGAATTGACAAGCACCACATGCACCATTTGATTCGTAAGTACGTATGTCTGTCTTGCACTTTCCCGTTCGTCAACATCCAAATTCGATAGTAGAAGTCGCCAGATTGGGGTGGTTCCTGACAGGAGACTTTCACTACATTGCGTCATAGCTCTCCTGTAAGAGGATAGCTTTCTCGCATGTCGGACTGGGACCCGCCCCGAGGTTGCTTCTCATCATCCGCATCGCATGTTCCAGACGAACCGTTGCATTTTACTTATAAACACACCACTCGCAATTATCGCAGTCGCGGCGACTAAAACCTTTCTTACACTTCTAGACAATTTCCACAGACGACACAATTGAAATCGGCCACAATGACAACTTTCATCCCGGCCCTGACCTTACCCCACCAGGTCTTCGAGAATGCTGCCGCCTCGATCCTGCTTCCCATAGCTCTCGGCACGGCCGTCGGCTTCTCTTCGCGACGTATATTTCCCCTTCAAAATACCTCAAGGCCCTCATGAAATAACGATACTAACAAAGCTCGTGTAGCCAAGGATACTAAGAAGACCTACGCCGCCATCAAGAACCCTCCTGGCCGCCCTCCTGCGTGGGTCTTTGGCCCAGCATGGACTCTCCTCTACGGGTAAGCCTTCAACCCAGTTCACGGTGACGCCTTTCTCTGATATCTAACAATCCCCCCTCCAGACTAATGGGCTACTCCGCCTACCGCGCCTTCCACACAGGCCTCTCCCCAACCTCCACCCTCTCCCAAATCGCCGACACAAAACACGGCGCGACCCTCTACACGATCCAGCTCGGCCTCAACCTCATCTGGATGCCTCTCTTCTTCCTCCTCAAGCGCCCCATCGCCGCCACCGTCGACATCCTCGCCCTCCTCGGCATAAACTCCTACCTCGCCTACCTCTGGGGCTCCGTCGACGCCGTCGCCGGCGCTTGCCTCGTCCCCTACCTCGGCTGGCTCTCCTTCGCGACCTACCTCTGCGCCGGGGCAGGCTACCTCAACGACTGGGACCTCAAGGGCGCCGAGGCGCGGTACGAGGCCGAACAGGCCGCCAAGGCTGGGAAGAAGCAGTAGTGTTGCGATTGTTACCGCTGTCGTGCGGGAATTTGTGACTCGTGCAACGGTGCAGAGAAGGGAGACGACGAGGAGGAGTGGACTTGGTGGGCGTATCTGCGTACTATGGCGTTCTAATTGGTATTGGCTGGCCTGTTCCTTGCGTTGAGCGTTTATTAGGAAAGAAAATTCGAAACTTAGACGTAACAAAAAAACGATTGCTCGACGTGTCAATTGAAAACCGTTAAGGAGGTAGACGATAT